AGGTTGGGATTTTGGGTCGTGACAAGTTGGTATCAGAGCCTAGGTTACATAGGTCTCATGAGTCATGAGCAGGTTTAGTAGAGTCTTGCGGATCGGTACAGAGACGTTTATACTTATTTTCGAGAGGCTGCCGAACCCCTAGGAAACTTCATATTCTTGTATTCTTGTCGTGCATATTTGTTGATTCTGGTAACTAAATTTTTGTATTCTATTCTCTCACAGATGGTGAGGACACGTACTACCGGACATGATGGACAACCACCAGTACCACCAGCTAGGGCCACGAGAGGTCGAGGTCGCGGTAGGGGCAGAGGTGCAGCTCGTACAACAGCTAGAGCAGCACCTGCAGATCTACCAATTGCTCCAGCTCAGGAGTAGGTTCCAGTTGTGGTTGAGCCAGTAGGGCCAGCTCAGGTACTAGCTGTGCCCATTATGAGATTCTCTTTGGGAAAATTATACTTTATATAGTTGCTTTACACAATTCAAATAAGGAAAAAAAATATAATTAAAATCTTACTCCATTTAAATTCCTAAATATTAGGAGTCTTGCAAGATTCAAATAAGTAAAAATTTAATAACCAAATTTTTAGTTGATTTCAAAGTTTTAAATATTTAAATAATTACAAAAGAAAAGAAAATTGCTTTGAAAAAATAAAAATTATATTTGTCAAAGAAATAAAATAAAATTGCTTTAAACTACCGCAAACCATGTCCCTAAGCTAAATATTCAATAGTATTATTCTATAATATATAAATGGTTATTAACTTTGCTTGATGGTCGTGGAGGTAATTATAAATGTCATAATGCACTTCAAAACATCTAAGATTTGCATTTTTAAGTTTCTTTATCATATTTATTTTTTACGTTAACTACTTTTCAAATATACACAACATAAAGAGTCTTAGGGGAAACAAATTATTTTTATGTGGTAAACCCTTAATTTAAATAAAAATTGATTTACAAATTTATAGTGACAATCATATCTCAAATTGAGGTTGTACGTTGATACATACAAGGAAAGGAGATCAAATATAATTAAAGAAAAATAATTCTATTTCAAATAAGGAAAGATTTAATAAGTACTAAAATTTTAGTTGATTTCAAATTACTAAATATTAGAAAAATAATTAAATGATAACGTTAAAAACTCAAAGTCCTAATTATTGGAAAAATAATTAAATACATATTCCTACATATTAGAAAATTAATTAAATAACTATTTTATCTAGTGTGAACTCTATTTTTAAAGGGATAAAAAAAGCGAATGATATTTCGCTAAGAGCCTTCGTTCTTTTAATATAACTAATTTCTGGATACGTGCGTTGCACGTGTATCCCATGCCAATCAATACGATTTTTTCTTTCTTTTGTCTAAGGTAAATATATGAAGACTAACTGTACGACCCATAAACATTATTAATGTTTGATAAATTGGGTATTGAAATTCTACTCAGTAAATGACTTATTTGCCTCCTTCTGTCTATGGTGAAATTATAAAATGACAGTAAAATGAAAGAAAAGGATAAAAAATTTAAAGAAAAAACCATATCAGTAATATAAATAACATACTCAGTAAACATACATTAATTAAAGCATTATTAGAACAGTATGTAAAAAGAACATGCTGGCGATTATTATTTGACCAAAATATCAAGCCAATCATCAACCTTTCCTAAAGAGCAATAATGTCTCTGATTACTACATACTCCCTCCGTTCACTTTTACTTGGCATGTATACTAAAAATAGAATTTTATTTTTACTTGTCACTTTACGCATATCAAGAGAAGATAATTGTTTTTCCTGTTATACCCTTAATTCATTAACCAATATTTTTTGAATAAATAATGGTCAATTGTAGCTTTTCAATGCTCAATATTGGAATTCACAGAGAACTCTTCATTATCACCCTTCGTTAAACACAAAAGTTCACTAAAGTCATCTTTTATTCTCTTGTTCTTTGGAGTATTTCTTTCTTCAGAAGTTATTTGGGAATTTGGGTTCAATTATTGAGTATCAATTAATAGGGTAATTGTGGTAAAATTATCATGTCAATCATTATTTTCTTAAGAGGCGTGAAAATGCAAAACGTGTCAAGTAAAAGTGAACGGAAGGAGTATTTAGATGACAAAATTTTTTCTTTTTATGATAGGTTTTAGAGGACCAAAAGTTTATAGATGCAATACTATATATATAAAAATACTAAAATTAATGAAATGCAAGCTCATATGTACGATAATGCACCAGAAAAGTTACCTTATGTCAGATTACTTAATTTATCACAAGCATATCTAAAAATTATGCTAGAAGAATATTTTTTATGAAATATGCTAAAAGAAGATGAAAACCACAATATAAGATGATGTATCAGTACATCTCACAAGAGTAACAAAATGGAGATATTGTAATCAAACCATACAATGAATAATAAATAGACAAAAAGGGAAAGGAAAAAAAGAAATAAAAATGAATGATATTACAGTTATTAAATTATTGTAAAGCTTAAAGAACCGAAGAGAAAAAAAAAATAAAAGAATAGAAATAGAGTGGACCACAAATAATTTAAAATTTCAGACGGTTTCATGAATTTCTCAAAATTCCTTTTATCACTTGATTTATCGGGACATTTTTACACATAACATAACAAGGTAAAATACCATTAATTAGTTATAAAATTAGTAAAAGACTATGAAAAGTGACTAAAAAAAGAAATCAATTAACCTCATTTGGCACTTGTAGTATGGTTTTTTGTGTAGCTGATGCTAAGCAATATATATAATTTTGAAGAATGATGTATTTAATGGATAATGGCTTGACAGAAATAATAATTGTTTAATAAGTTAACTGTCCGTTTTTTAGATTTGAGTAGGCTATAAAAGGTACTGAAAAGGTTCACCTTCCCGTTTGTAGTTATTATTGAAAGTTGAAAAGAATTAAAATATTAAATAGATATTCTAAAGATTGCAATAAGTATTGAAATATGAAAGCAGTTGCAACACATTGAATAGGCTGTAGTAAGTGAGAATTGCACCTGAACATTGAATAGGCTGTAGTAAGTACCAAAAATTATAAGAGTAAATGTGTAATTTAAGGGCAAAATTGTCACTCAGCATTTAATGGGTAATATGGTAATTCAACTTTTACTTTGGGGCTTCCCGATTATAGTATGACTAGTCTTAAGGTACGCGCTTTGCGCGTGTACCTGCGTGTGTCAATGAATATACAAATTTTAAAAATTACGTAAATATTATTAAATAATGTATTTTTCGTTATTGAACAAGTATTAGAGAAAAAAATATAAGTTCCTAAAATAACGAATGTTAATCTCACTAAAATAAAGAAATTCTCCACATAAATTTTTATATGCCCTTATTATGATTTATGAGGCGTGAAATATCTTATAAAAATTATTGTTATCTTTGTTACCAAATACTATAAGCAAATAACATAAAAGATACTTTTACCACAATTATTCAAAGATAACAAAACAACTTGAAGAATTTGAATCTTTTGGTTTTTTAGAAATTTGTGAGTGATGAGGCAGAACTCCTCATAGAAAATTACTAATAAATAACAATAAAAGTTTTAACTAACTAATGTTGAATTACAAAAATATATAATACTATATTAAAAAATATAGGGAATTATCATTTATTGGAATGAATATACAAAGAAAGAAAAATGATAACGACACTTCTTTTGAATACCTTTTGTCTTATGTTACACCCTTAATTAATGCTTCAACTTAGCATGTTTAGCAATCTAATTTTTAATACTATATTATTAATGAATTTTTCTCTATTTTCTTATTTCTTTCACGACCGATGCTTTTCTAGTGAAAATAAATTTATGTACCTTAAAAGTTTTAACAACTTGACAAATAATTTTACTTACATAATGATTTTGAAAATTATTGAATTGAATTGTTTTTGCTAATTTATTAATTCAAAGACTTAATTATTTGTTGAGATTTCATGCTTTTAAGATAGTGTAGAAGATTCTCTTTATCAATTTTTATAATATTTATATAATATTATTCGCCTTTTTACCCTTTAAAAAAATATTTTATATTGAACAAAATAGTAATTTGCTTGTCTTCCTAATATTTAGGACTTCTAATTCAACTAAAATTTTATTTATTATATCTTTCCTTATTTGAATTCAGTAAAAAATAACTTTAAAATTAATTTAATTTTTACCTTATATAAATTATTTAATTTAATTATGACACAACTATAACTATACTTTTTCTAATATTTAGGAAAAAAGAAATCGAATAGGCAGATTATTTCCATAAATCTACGTTATCACTTTTCCTTTCCACTAAGAGTGTTTTAATTTGTTTGGCTTAAATCACTTAGCTTGAACATTCATTAATTGTACTATTCATTTACCATTATTGCCGCTGAATTCTTTCCTTACAGTATTTTCCAACGTGGTGAGTTATAGTATAATATGTGTGTGTATATATATATATATATATATAAAATAAGGAAAGATATAATAAATAAAATTTTAGTTGATTTAGAAGTTCTAAATATTAGGAAGATAAGAAAATTACTATTTTGTCCAATATAAAGTATATTTTAAAGGGTAAAAAAGGCGATCGACATTTCGATAAGGGCCTTCGTGCTTTTAATATAGTATATAGATGATGATAATAGATACTCCCTCCGTTTCAATTTAGATGAGGTAGTTTGACTCGGCACAAAGTTAAAAAAAAAAAGACATTTGAAACTTGTGGTCTTAAAGATTAATGGGTAAAAATTTTGTGGGGTCATGACATTTGTGTGATTATAAAAATTTCTCATTAAGGGTAAAATAGATAAAATAAAGAGTTTAAAGTTGAATTATTTTTAAATTTAAAATGTGTTATTTATTTTGAAACAGACTAAAATGGAAAATATCTTATCTAATTTGAAACGTAGGGAGTAATATATAATAGATAATAGATATAGATAGTATAAGTATAGATAGATCAGGAGGGCAAGACCTTGGTGTAAATTCAAATGGGGCAAAAGTGACAAAACGGTACGGCAAGACCCCAAAGTCCCAACTTCGTTGCAGTCCACATCGATAACTTCTTGACTTATGCCAATGTTGTTGCCTTCCTTCCACTGTAAGCTTCTCTCCTCTAATAGTATTATATAACTACAAAAACTCGATTCTTTCTCGTTGCTTATTAAACAGCAATGGAAAAAGGAGAAAGCTCAAGTGCTAAACTTTCAGAATTCGGTGAAGTCTGGGCGAAACTCAGTAAGCCCTATTCGTTTATTTCTTTGTCGTATTTTCTTGGAATTCGGTGGTGTGGTAATCAAAATTGTGACTTGTGGTAAATGCACAATCTTGCATTGTAACACTGAAGTTATATTCCATTATTTCGTGAAACTGGTTAACTTTAATTTCAGTTACGATTCACAAGGATGGTTCTGTTTAGAAAAAAATGGGAAAGAAAAGTATTTTCTTTTACCTGTTGATAAGTAAATTATGCAATTTCAGTCATCTTTTGGCTACTTTCTTTTGGTATGAAGAAAATCCCCACAATTGTAACAAAAAGATATTGCTTTTTCATGTTTACGTTAGTGCTTGAAGTAGCCTACCCTTTGCTTATTACATTTTTATTTTGTTTAACAAATTGCATGTTGATCCATATCAGGTAGCATTTATCTAGACAAATCGGTTTTGACCTGGAACGCTTATTTTTAGAATTAGTGCATTTGTATAATTTAATTTTGGAAGTGCTATATGCTTGTTCTTATATATATAATCCATGTGGTTTGGCTTTGTTCTGTCATGGGGCCATAGGGAGAGGTGAAGTGGTGGGGGTGACAGAGTATGACCGCTTAACAGTCTGTCGGACCAACATATATAGTTTGGTGAAATGCCATGAACATATAAAATCATTGATAGGATCTATATAGAGGAGACAGAAAATCCTGTAATTTACATGGTGAATTCAAAACACTATTAATCAAGACTAGCCTACGCTTGATGGGTAGATATGCTTCTTCGAATTAGCTAGTCTTTTCTCGTACCTTTCTAAGACACCCTGCTATATGTCTTCAGCTTTGTGTTTATCAACCAAAGGGAGATCTAAATTAGTACTAGTAGATAAGGAACCTGCTTTGCATCCTAGATTACCAGCCAATCTAGTAATATTAGGTACCTCAATTTCTGGAGTCTTATTGATATTTGGTGATGCTTGATTTCGGTTTCTTAATTGTGATTGCAGAGATAAAGACTCTATTTGAATTTCTATTTGTTGTTCCCTTATTTGATGGTTCGGACATGTTCAAAGGAGAAGCCCAGATGCTCCGGTACGGAGGCGTGAGCGGCTGGTTGTGGAGGGCACGAGAAGAGGTAGAGGGCGGCCTAAGAAGTATTGGGGAGAGGTGATCAGACAGGATATGGCGAGACTCCAGATTTCCGAGGACATGACACTTGATAGGAAGATGTGGAGATCGAGTATTAGAGTTGTAGGTTAGGATGTAGTTGAGTCTTGACTTACTTCGTACCATTGTGGAACTGGCCACGTAGGGTTTTTGTCTAGGGTAGCTAGTGACAATGTTGTGTTTTACTACTTCGCTTTTCAGTGCATGTCCTATTTACTAGCTATCATTTTTGCTTTGCATCTTTCTTCTGCATTTCATGATGTTCCTATTTTTTCTATGATTGTTGTGGTGATACTAATGTTGTCTCCTCTTGTCGTTTTGTCTTTTTGTTTTCTTGAGCCGAGGGTCTTTCGGAAACAGCCTCTCTACTCCTTTGGGGTAGGAGTAAGGTCTGCGTACACACTACTCTCCCCAGACCCCATTAGTGGGTTTCTACTGGGTTGTTGTTGTTGTTGTTGTTCCCTTGTTTGATGATTTTGGCTTCTTAGAAGTACAAGGAAGATTAGAGCTGAGATAGATATTGCTTATTGACATGCATTTATCCTTGTAATTATAGTACCGGTGGATTCTCACTATTCAGAAATTGAGTTGAGGCTGAAGGAGACTGTAATATGTAGTGAAGTGAAGAATTCCTCTTCTGAAAAGCAAGAATGGTGTAAGATAACAAGGAATGTGGATCTAGTTTCTGCCATGATGCAAAATAAGAGGTAAACATTTCTGGTTCTATAAATACTACATTTTGTGCTAGTGTATATTGTTCATGCTGTGACTAGGCAAATGGGCGGGTTGGGTTGAATTTGGGTGGGTTGAAAATGGGTAGAATAAAAACGGGTTGCAACCCAACCCGTCCATTTTTATACGGGTAAAATGTGGGTTGGGTAAAATATGGGCTAGATAAAAAGTGGGTTTGACCCATTTTTGTACTTTGTCTGAAACCATTTTATTTTGACTCTACTATAACTCTCTACTCTATTATTGTTTACAAGTTCTCAGAAGAAGATCAAATTGTGTTTCAATTTCTCATTATCTGTATTTCAAATTGTGTTTCAATTCCTCATTATCTCAGAAATGTGCTAATTAAGCCCCTTCTATTAGTGCTTGAACTTTTCAAATAGAACTTCATTATAATGGCTACAAAAAGGTTCTTTTAAACATCTTATTTAAGCCCAAGAATTTTATTGTTCGCATGGAAAACTTTAAACCCTGTAATAATTTAAAAAATTAGCCTAGCAAAATGCATTAGCAATCTATTTCATTAATTAGTAAATTTGTAATAATTTACTATTGAGAATTTCGTAATTCTTGGCAAAGAATGGTGCCATTTTTTGCAATATTTCCATGGGTAAATGGTTTAACTACTTTTCTCTAGAATTCCGTTTCAGGAAAATACTTAACTTAGTTTTTTCTTTAATTTTTAATTTTTTATAAGAAAGTAAAAAATACTTCACTTAATTAGTACTGTTAGTACTACATAGAACGTCATGAAAAGTTTTTTTTTCTATAACTTTTTCACCAAAAAAGAAATCTGCGGCAGTTTCTTGGGATAGCTTAACTTATCAAATTTCTATCACAAAACAAAACGAAATAATCAATGTCAAATTAAATGTAAATTTAGACAATTTGAAGGTCGAAAACATGAACCAGTTTATCTATATTTGGGTGAAGGAATATCAAATAATCTTGAGCTCATTACTTGATTGCATGCCAATAGTGTAATAACAAGTGGCAAAACAAATGAGTTAGACTCTACTCAAAGCAAATCTCTGAGAAAGAATAGTTGTGGGTAATAGCTTTAGGCCTCATGCAGGAATCCGGAAATCAAAACAAATTTAAAACCGCATTCGACCCGTATTCAACCCGCATTAAACCCGTTTTTGCCCATTTTATTGCGGGTTGAATATGGGTTAACCATATTTACCCATATTTAAAATGGGCGGGTTGAATATGAGTTTATTGCGGGCGGGTTGGGCGGATTGAGCAAATGTGGGTTGAAATTGCCACAACTAGCTATGACTGTAGTTGCTTTAGGATAATGTGTTGATGATTTATCTAATAAATAGAGAAGCTAAACCATTATTTCCACTGAGATATTGGGTTTTAGATTGTTTTGCATTCTCCCGCCCAAATCGAATTTTATAGTAAAAAACTAAGTTTCTCCGACACGGTAGTTTAGGTGCCGCGCCCGTGTCGACACAACACTAGTATTGGTGTGGATATGGGATCCGTACCGGATCTGGTCAAATAATTTTGGGTACTTTGACCACGACGGATGAAAAAATTCGAGACGTGATACAATTTGCTTCCCGAAATCAGAACCAAAATTAGGGTAAATTTGAAGATAATAACATACCTTATCTAGGAAATCAATCCTTTTTCTTATCTACAACTTGAGAATAAAAAAGAAATCCACACTTTACAAGCTATACATAAGTATTCCACGAAATTTCTCATAATTTAGATATATTTTTAATTTTTTGAATTATTTTAGCCGGATCCCTGTGTCCGTATCTGTACTAGGATCCGTATCCCCGAATCCTATAAGTCACATCTCGAAGGATCCGACCTCTAGATCCGCACCCGTGTCCGAGCAAGTTAGGTAAAAATACTAGAAAAGTGCCGCTATATGCACACTATTTCCTGCCCTGAATGAAAAATGAGAAAAGAAAAGCTTTCGTGTATGTACTTGAAATGTATGTCATTGAACTCTCATTGGTCATTTGGTATATTTGGTATCAGCAAGAAGGCAAATGCCGGTTTTTGGGTTTCCTTCGGTGTGACCATGCATACAGACATGTTCTTAGGATTTAGCCTAGAAAATCCTTGAGTTCTCTCTCAGGAGATTAATAATTTGCTAAAGTAACTTCTTGAAGCATGCTTGCTAAGTTTATCAGTTGAAGTTTCTGGGACTGATGCTCATAGAATCAAATTTTCTTGTGTTGCATTTTCTCATGGGGAGAGATTGAACCTATTGTAATATTTCACTTAACCAGATCTGCAATCTCTCTTCTAATGCAATTACTGTGCCAGTTCCTGAATGTGGACATTCCAATTTCTTAGGTTAAGTGAGTATTTTGAATATTTCAATAGTTATGCATGGTAACCTATTGATTGCCTTTATTATTAGGAAAGATTTGATTCTGTTGATTGGCTTAATTATTAGGAAAGAATTGATTCTGATTGAACTTTGATTTTATTTTGATTGATTGTAAATTGATTGTAATTTATTTCCCTTCCTAAAATAGTCATAGGACCTAGTGTATATTTACCTTTGCTTAGGGATGTAAGAAACATATAGAAATACAAGAAGCCTTTTCTTCTTCTCAAAATCTACATGGTATCAGAGCCATTGCTGCCTTTTTGAGGTGAGTTATCTCCCTCGCAGCGCTAGGGTTCCGTTTTTATCAAAGACGTCGAGTTTTCTCTCTTGGTGGCTTTCCACAACACAAATTCCTTACGGTCAGTTTTTGGTTGGAATTTTCTTTTCTGTTGGGGTCGCTTTGATTTTTCCGCACACCGGAGTTAAGGTTCCGTCGAGATAGATTTGGTTTCCTGTGAGGCAGACTATTTTGGAGCAATTTTAATTTCTTTCTGGTTGAGCAGAAAATATGGAGACATTTAAGGAGAGGATTTCTAGAGAAATCTTGTCTTCGGATGAAATTCAGCTTTTCCGTCGCCTCCTAGCCAAACTTGACTCCACTAATGTTGCCACATCCAATTATGTGCAATCAGGTACTGCCTTTGCTGCTCACCTTAATTTTTGGATTGTTGATTCTGGTGCAAATAGACACATGATAGACTTTTCTAAAAACATTCAAAACTATTCTCCGTGTCCCAACAGAGATAATGTTAAAATAGCCAATGGTTCTTTAATACCTATCTCTGGAACAGGTTCTGTCGTTTGTACTCTTAATTTTAAACTATCATCCGTGCTCTATGTCCCTGAGTTCCCTGTCAATCTTTTATTTGTTAGTGCCATCACCAAAGCTCTGAACTATAAAGTCGAGTTCTTCCCTGATCATTGTATTTTTAAGGATGTTCAAACAGGGAAAAGGATTGGCAGTGGTAGATTGCGTGATGACTTGTATATATTATATGGAATTCAAAACTCTGGTCAAGCCTTTTTTGGGGAAAGTAAGGATGTCAACCAAGAAATAATATAGTGGCACAGACGGTTAGGACACCTATCATTCTTTGTTTTGAAGAAGTTATATCCCGATTTGTTTTCAAGGACTCAATTTGAACTTTATTCTGTGATGCGTGTGAATATGCCAAGCATACTAGAAACTCTTATCCTGTGAGTGATAACAGAAGCATAACTCCGTTTATGACTATTCATTCTGATGTATGGGGTCCTACCCAAACTGTTTCTTTGTCTGGTAGTCGATGGTTTGTTACTTTCATTGATTGCTGCACTAGGATAACTTGGGTATATTTGTTAAAAGCCAAAAATGAAGTTTTCTCTTGTTTTCAGTCATTTCATAAGATGATTTGTACTCAGTTTGATGCCAAAATAAAAATTTTGAGAGCTGACAATGGCAGCGAATACATGGATAAAAAATTTGGTGCTTATTTGGAGTCTAATGGGATAGTCCATCAGACTAGTTGTCCTTACACTAGTGCACAAAACGGGGTCGCTGAAAGAAAAAATAGGCATTTGTTAGAAGTAGCAAGATCTCTTATGTTCACCAAGCATCTACCAAAACCTTACTGGGGAGATGCTTCTAGTGGCTGCCTATCTTATCAACAGAATACCACTTAAAACCCTCAATTTTCGAAGCCCCCTGGAAGCTGTAAAGGGTAAGAATGAATATACTGTTCCTCCAAAGGTGTTTGGGTGTGTTTGCTTTGTCCAAACTAGGAATTCTGGAAAACTTTATCCTAGAGCTATTAATTGTGTTTTTATCAGGTATTCTCCGACACAGAAATGTTACAAATGTTACATCCTCCCTCAAGGAGATATTTTGTTAACATGGATGTTACCTTTCGAGAATTTGAGCCCTATTTCAGTATTACCTCATTACCTCTTCTGGGGGAGAGTAGTAAGGAGCAAGAGATGATTCTACCTAATTTCATTACTGGACCTCTTGATGATATTGTCATTGGGAAAGTGAAATTGGAGAAAGAATTCAAGGGGAGACTACTGGGTGTTTGGATAGGCCTGATTTGAAAACTTACTCAAGGAGAATTAGAGCCTGATTTGAAAACTTACTCAAGCAGAAATAGAGCAGAAGAAGCCATCATGCAATCTACCGAAGCTGAACCTTCTTTTAACTGGTGAATTATCTATATTTCCTAATAAGTTAGATGTGCCTATTGCTCACAGAAAAGGAGTCAGATGTTGCACCACCAAGCACCCTTTATCTAATTTTGTCTCCTATAATTCTTTGTCTCCCTTCTATAGAGCCTTTGCCTTGTCTATTTCTTTTGTGTCTATTCCCTAGAATTGGTAGGAAACTTTTGCAGATCCTAAATGGAAGCAAGCTATGATTGAAGAAATGAAGGCCTTGTCAAAAAATGAGACTTGGGAACTTATCACTTCACCAACAGACAAGAAGTTGGTTGACTGCAAATGGGTCTTCACTATGAAGCACAAAGCTGATGGCTCGATTGAAAGATTCAAAGCAAGATTGGTGGCTAAGGAATTCACTTAGACTTATGGAGTGGATTATCAATAGACATTTGCCCCTGTTGCAAAAATGAATACTATCAGGATTCTTTTATCTTGTGCAGCTAATCTTGATTGGGGCTTACAATAATTTGATGTGAAGAATGCATTTCTTCATGGAGACTTAGAAGAAGAGGTTTGTATGGGGATTCCTCCTGGATTTGATAATGAACAAAGTCAAGGAAAGGTGTGCAGACTGAGGAAAGCCCTGTACGGACTGAAGCAATCCCCTTGAGCTTGGTTTTGACAGATTCTGCAAAGCAATGATAACCTTCGGCTACTAACAAAGTGATGCTGATCATGCTCTCTTCATAAGACATCAAAAGGGTAAACTCACTCTTCTCATAGTTTATGTTGATGACATAATAATGACAGGAGATGACAAAGAGGAGATGACCCGATTGAAGAAGCTATTGGCACAGGGATTTGAGATCAAGGATCTAGGAAAATTGTAGTACTTCCTGGGAATTGAGGTTGCTAGATCAAAAAGAGGAATTTTTATTTCTCAAAGAAAGTATATTTAAAGATCTTTTGAAAGAAATTGGTATGACAAGCTGCAAACCAGCGGAATAGCCCATTGAAAGTAATCACAAGTTACAAACAGGAGTTGGAGAGCTAGTTGATAAGGAGAGGTATCAGAGGTTGGTCGGAAGACTCATTTATCTCTCTCATACTAGATCTGACATAGCCTATTCAGTCAGCTTGGTGAGTCAGTTCATGCATGATCCCTGAGATCCTCATATGCAAGCCATTTTTCACATTTTGCGGTATCTGAAGTCTGCTCCAGGCAAATGTATACTTTTCTCCAAACATGGTCACCTTCAAGTAGAAGCCTACACAGATGCGGATTGGGCTGGATCTTTAGATGATACAAGATCTACATCAGGTTACGGTACACTCGTAGGAGGGAATTTGGTTACTTGGAGAAGCAAGAAGCAAAGTGTAGTTGCTAGATCAAGTGCGAAAGCAGAATATAGAGCTATGGCCCAGGGTGTCTGTGAATTTCTTTGCTTACTAAAATTACTAGAGGAATTGAGACTCACTGAAAAGCGGAAACTTTTCTTATATTGTGACAACAAGGCCCGCCATCAACATAGTTCATAATCTAGTTCAGCATGACCAAATAAAGCGTGTTGAAAATGATCGACACTACATCAAAGAAAACGTTACGAGTGGTGTCTTGGGCTTGATTCATGTGTCATCAGAAAAGCAGCTAGCTGATGTGTTTACCAAGGGTCTAAACAAACAGACTTTTCATACACTGGTTTGCAAGTTGGGCATGTGCGATATCTTTGCACCAACTTGAGGGGGAGTGTTGATTGCCTTTATTATTAGGAAAGATTTGATTATGTTGATTGGCTTAATTATTAGGAAAGAATTGATTCTGATTGAGATTTGATTTTAGTCTGATTGATTGTAATTTATTTCCCTTCCTGAAATAGTCATAGGACCCAGTGTATAGATACCTTTGTTTAGGGATGTAAGAAACATACAGAAATACAAGAAGCCTTTTCTTCTTCTCAAAATCTACATAACCTACAGAGTTTGAATAGAAATACTTGATCACATGGCCTGGAGTTGTTGGTTCAACTACCTTTAGTAATAAGGGGCAAAGATCATTAATCATCTATCTGATCGACTAGCCTACTGTGAAGTGCACTGGGTAGAATATGACAGTGCACATATTTACCAGGAATTATTTGGATATGGGGATTGGAGGGAGGCGCGAAAGATACTGTGGCGCATCAAAATTCAAAAGAAGGTTGTTCTTTCACTTGATGTACTATGAGGGATGCAATATTGATGGAGCACAACTCAAGGAGAGAAGTTAAATTGTAATGAGTTGATATTGTTTGTATAAAGGAAGTAGAGAAGATACTTACTGACCATGTTACATTGCAAACTATTACATAGCTATGGAATATTTGTGTGTTCACTGATTGATATATTGATCGGGTAGCACCAAAGACAGTACTCCCTCTGTTTCAAAAAGATTATACTAGTTTGACTTGGCACAAACTTTAATAAAGAAGGGAAGACTTTTAAGATATGTAGTCTTAAATAAGCTATAACATTTGTGTGGCTGTAATACTATTGAAACTTGTGGTGTTAAACTTGCCATAACATTTGTGTGGCTATAAATGCTTCATATTAAGGAAATCTTGGAAGATGCCAATCTTTTTGAAACGGACTGATAAGGAAATAGTGCCAATCTTTTTGTAATGGAAGGAGTAGAAGAAACTATCACGATCTGGGATTCTGGAGGCAGCAAGGAGTAAAAACTAAAAAGTCATAATGGAGAACTATGCTTCTTTGTAGTTTCTAGCTAAGTTGCAATGAAAGAGATAGGAAACTCTGTCATAGTAGTGACTGGAATACAAGTCGCACAAAGAGATTTTTTATTGCCATAAACTTTTGATTTAAAGAGAAAGTCATGATTGGGATAACATGTAGCCAAATGTGGTTAAGTCACTCGCTTGGAACATATTCTTCACTCCAGCTTGGTGGTCAATGAACGATATTACTGATTTATCAGGAATTTTTTTTGTTTGTTTTTATTGTATCTGTTAATTGTTACTTTGTGGACTGCTGCTTTTCTCTAGCAGATTAAAAATAAATAATTCTCTTCAATAGTTGTCAATGTAGTCAGTTGCTTCAGGGGTGGTGCTTTTTCTATGCAACTTGATTTTGCTTTTTGTCTCAACCAAAGTTGTATCTCTGTTGACTATCTACAACTTCTCCAATATAGTTCAAAAGCAATTGTTGTTGATGAGACGGTGGTTCAGGATGAGCATGTTGCTGTAATTAAGTGTGGCAGTGAAATTTCTCTGGGCCCCAGTGATGAAGGTGGGTGTTATTTGTTATCAGATTCTCTTTTGTAATTTTAGTCTTATACAATTTTCGTTATCTGCTTTGGTGTCTATTTTTTCTGTTTTATTACCTGCAGTAGTACTCTCTTTGGTGTGTTTTCCGGGTGATAAAAGGAAATGAAAATCTTTAACCGTATGCTGCTCCACCATGAGCAGTTTGAAGCCTAAAGCTGCTAATCTCATGTTATATGTTAGTGTTGTACTAACAGCTTAGATACAATTATTGTTAGCTAATATTGAATTTGGTGTTCCTCTTCAAGTGGAGTCTTAGCGCAATGGTAGAGTTGCTACTTTGGTGACCTATAGGTCATGGTTTTGAAGCGTGGAAGTAGCCTCTTTTTTTTTTTTCCCAGAAATAAAGGGAAGGCTATGTACAATATATGCCCATCCTCTTTAAACAATTAAAAATAAAAAAAGAAGAAAATAAAAAAGAAAAAAGAAAAAAGAATAAAGAAAAAAGAAAAAGAAAAGCATGCCCATACTCCTCCTACCCCAACTCTAGCCGTAGAGCATTTCATGCACGTGTGCGCCCTTTATGTTCCTCAATTGTATTGAGATTTGAAAGATGTTTCGCTTCGCTGGTCATATTTGATGTTTGTATTAACTTACAAGCTATAGATTATTAGGATAAGAAGGGTTTGATGAAGAAGATATTGACTCTCATCATTTTAAGAAATGTAATCTCAACCCAAGTTTCAACTCAGAATTTTATTAGAATTGACATATTTTATGGGTGTTAATGTGTGGCTTATAGTATTACGCTTCAATGCTGTTAGGTTTTGTGAAATACCGACTCGAAATGATGCCCACTGAGGAATCTCGCAGATATATGCAGGTGAATAATTAAACTCTCAGCAAACCTGTTTCTATTCATGATTATCCGTTTATGCTTACTGACATGGCCTATTGTTCTGCTAGATTTCTCTCGATGTTGAGTATGCAAAATGCTGTATCTGCTTAAATATCTGGCATGACGTTGTCACAGCTGCACCTTGCCTTCACAATTTCTGGTTAGTGGGTTCGATCTTTTAGCTGTTCGAAAAACCATTTTGAATTTTGATCCTTGACTAGATGTGCTATCACTTATGTTCTTCATTCTTCCAGTAATGGATGCTTTTCAGAGTGGCTAAGGAGGTCTCAAGAGAGGCGTTCAAGTGTTTTATGTCCCCAGTGCAGAGCAGTTGTACAGTTTGTTGGAAGAAACCATTTTTTCCATAACATTGAGGAAGTAAGACGTGAAACTAATTCACTTTTGCCCTTATTTCTAGTTGGAAAAATTTCCTTTTTAAGTTAATTTATTCAAGTTGGTGATTAGTTTTATCAATCTTTTTAAATAAATCATCCCCAATTCAAGTTTTAATTCTCTAATGTTGTTGTGCCTTTTCTCTTAAAGAACTTTTAGCAGACCTAAGCCTTTCTTTGTGGAAGCATTAGATGCATGTTATAATTCATTGTGACTTGTACTTAAAAGTTTATGCCCTGATTATGCAGGATATACTGCTTGCGGATCCTTCCTTGAAACGCTCGAGTGAAGATGTTGTGCTGCTTGATTCCTGTGCATCAATAAAATCACCTCTTGTAAGTAGTCTAAGTTATCATATGAGATGCCTTTGGAATTTCCTTAGATTTGATTACAGTTCTACTATGTATGGTTTTTTGTATAGATATTTCTTTCCCAAGTCGTATGCTAAGTAGTTTAATTTATCACTATGGCTTGTCTTCAAAATGTCATGAAATTTTGTAACAGTTCTACTTTGTATGGCTTTTAGGTAGTCGTTTTTCAAAAGTTGTATGGTTGATCCTGTGCTTCCAAACATCTTTACACTAACTTGTCAGGCACTGGTGCTTTGTGATCAAGTGATTGTAATTGTTTTGCACTGCAGTATCCTAGCTTTTTCAGGAGTTTGTCTTCCATTTCAAGTTTAGAAGAGTGTCTATAACATGTCATTATTACGCTAATCACATATTATTATATCGTCAGTATCATGAACGCTCGACGACTTGCTTCCTTTTAAACTTGGTAAACATACTAACCCCTAGGAGCAGGTCCTCGGCAGTAGAAAAAGTCGCCGGAAGAGGGAACGTTCTCCATCAGATGCAGCAAATAGTTGGGAGCCTTTATGCCCTCAGTGTGGTAATTACGTTTTCCTCAATCTAGATGTTATTTGCAATAGGAATTGATACAAAGTGCAGCGTGTTGACTTGTCCAGAAAAAGTGCTTGTTTGACTTATTGGGCAAAATGTATATCCCATGTAAAGCTTGATATAATCTAATATTCTTCTCGTGTAATTTTAAATTTATTATGGTTTTTAATTCTGTATTCCAACTATTGATCTAAAATAATTCAATGGTTATGAACTTTGAATTTCTAACATTGAATAATTTACATCCAGGCATTGAATTTGGAGGTTTTCAGTGTGATGAAAGCACAGTTCATCTTCAATGTCAAGCATGTGGTGGAATGATGCCCTCTCGATTAAACATTGGAATGCAACAACACTGTAAACTATGCTTCCAAACTCTTTGCTCTTATGTTCTTGTTGCGAAATATCTTTTCCTCAACTGTGTTTGTGTGATTGTGTGTGTGTGCCCGTTTCACATTAAATGGAAATGCCAAAGCTTCTGTTCCTCTTTGAAGTGTTTAGCGTGTGAGACCTAAGGCGATTTGGCTTTGTAGGTTTGGGATGTGATCGAGCATTTTGTGCTGCTTATTGGCATTCTCAGGGAGTCAATGGAAGCAATTTACATCCACTTTGCAGTCCTGAAACTTTCAAGCCTGTAATTACTTAAATCCGGTGTACTTTTCTGATTGCGAACTATGTTTTGGTTATACTGGTTAGAAAACTTTAATGTTTAGAGCATCATCATCCAACTGAACTTGGTATGTTACGTAGTTGGATGAATTTTTAGAAATTTATTTTGATGGCCTATAAGAGGACTTTGATGCGTTCTTACTCTGGCACCTGTATTGTTGTGGGAGTTTGGGTTTACTAAAAAAATAAAATTTGTTGTACATTCAAAGCACCTAATGGTTGAGGGATGAAATTTCACTGATTTTTAACAGTTACGAAGAATTGCCAACCTGAATAGGTGCAAAGCCCAGTGATTATTTCTTATCCTTGTAATTTCTTTAGTGCGATAACCCTCTTTCTCCACCCACTTTTGAGTGGAGATAATCTTGAAACTCTTTTCTGATGGATTTGTCACCTCTCGTTCTCTTCTGCTTTTTCAATTTAATCATGCAAACTCAAATGACCACGTCCCTCCTTATCCTCTCTTTTTTCCCCTCTTGTTTTGGTTGATGTTATCTCCACGACTGGCATCTGTGACTAAAAGAGTTTTAAGTTGGTGGAATAGTTGAGGTAAGTTGGCCTTGACACCAAAATCATAAAAAGGGAGAACTCCGAGTTGGTAAGGTGGTCCTCGTTGTACAAGTTAACTTGAGGACATGATCTATAATTTGATATTTCTTCTCCTTGTTTCTTCATTTGATTGCTCTCCCTTTTCCTTTTTGTTTTTCTCCTTGATGATGGTAATACTTTTGTTTTGTTACTTATAGCATTTACATTTGCACTCTTGATTTTTATAGAATATGTCAAATTGATGCACATGTTTCTGCAGATTGCTGAACGTACAATTACTAGAATACCCTCCTTGGCACATGAGAATAATCATTATGAACAAAATGTATGGCTTCTTTGTTTTCTTTATGTTTCTTTGGATAGATTGTTATTAGTCTCAATGCTTTAGTTGGAGTACTAGGTCTCCTAACTCTAGGTGTGATCCTCTAATAGATTACTGAAAGATGCATTAGAGAGATGACAAGGTCGTTGCAGGATGTGGTAGCTGATTGGATTTTGAAGCTTGATAAGCGGGAGATAGGTAATCTGACCATTGGAAATTTGAGAATCAGTTTCTTTTTCTTCCTGTCTTTTATGGTATTCATTATTGTATATTCCTCTCTCTCTCTCTCTCTCTCTCTCTCTCTCTCTCTCTCTCTCTACAAAAAGTTACTGCCTCTAGTCCAGAAGCTCTAGGAGTTAAAAACACTTTGAGAAATTGGCAGTCTGGAGAATTTTACTATCTTCATGGAAGCAAGTACTATAAAGATTGTTTTCCAGTGTGTTTACCTACTTAAAAGTAGGATTTAACCTGATTGGCGCAGTAGTTAGAGCTCCTATTCATCTTAGTCCTTGCTTCCTCTTCGTCCACTTTAATACTCCAAAGGACATTACATATTGGAATTGCACTTGCTTTGTCCATTCTAAGAAACATTGTCACTTCCCATTATTTAACTTTTGACTTGGTCCTTTTTAACACTTTATAAATATCTTGAAGCTAGAATTCAACTTGTAGCATTTCCACTTAGTTTCTAAGTTTCTATATCTTATTAGTCATAGGTGACCTAATGCTTGTCCTATTCCATTTAAATAATCGGCAACTTGAATATTGAACAGTCGGATAGGTGGTGGATCAAGTCCGTTATTGACATGATTGAAAGAAATAGTGCAGGTGAAAAAACTATATCAGTCCAAAAATGACTATCGGTTGCTATATATCATATCTTTGAAGATGGTCCTCATTAGAAACCAGCATGAGCTTAGAACGAAGTTATTGAATTATGAAAGAAAAAAGGACTTTATAACTTTCTTCGACTATCGTCCTTAAATTGAATTGTCCTGCTATATAATGTGTGCTTCTGTTTCCTTCAGATCGCACAAGGATGCCTTTGAATCATGCTGAGATGATAACTTCCCGGACATATACTTGTAGGTGAGTACATGTTTTTGGATATATTGAATAATTTAACAAAGTTCTCATCTTGGGTTATTGCGATTTTTATATTTCTGGAAATCGTGTCATTTGGCACCTGATGGTTTCCAATTTGACTTTGTGGCTACTTTGCCTTGAAGTTAGGGAAAATGTCTGTTATTCGATGAGATTATTGAGATTTCATTTAGTGAAGCAATTTCTTCCCGCTGATTGTCTTTTTTATTTTTAATATTTTTTTTATGTACAGTGAGTGCTATGACAAGTTAGTCTCATTCCTATTGTACTGGTTTAGAGTTACAATGACAGCACATGTAAGTTTCCACTGATCATTGTTGATTCATCCGTTATTTCATCTTTTACTTGTAGAGTTACTTAAGAGGAAAACAGTCTTTTATTAGAAGCTGAGCAAAATACGAAAGAAGTTTTTATCTAACATCGCACTTCAGCGATAACTAATGGCGCATTTTTCTGTCAAACCAATTGCGCCATTTCAATCTTAGCTCTGGCTTCTTTAGTGTAGGATTTGACTCGTCATTCGTTTCTCAAGCTCTAGATTTTTAATGCTCTAGTAACTTGTTTCTTTTCTCCTCTCAGCTTTTACCTTCAGAGGTAGCACAAAGAGAAGACTGCTGGTATGGATATGCTTGTCGCACACAACACCATAACCAAGAGCATGCTCGCAAAAGGAACCATGTCTGCCGGCCAACAAGGGGTAGTCATATGTAGAAATTCTTCTTATAGTTTTTCTGTTTGAAACGATGTCAATGCCACTGTCTTGAACTCGATTCTATTTTTGTCTCGAATGCTAATTTCTGGTCTTATTTTGACGTGCATTTTGAGATGTCTAACCCTATGAACTGCTGATGTGTTTTCTTAAAATGTACATATGTTTCTTTTTCATGTGTTACATACATTTATTCAGTTGTGTAGCTTATAGATAAATCTTTTAAGATATATCAAGTTCATAAAATGGAATAAGTAGTGCCATAAACAACAAGTAAAAACTAGGCGGGGCTTTTTAAACAGAAATGAGCTTGTTTTCACATTTATGGCTGATAAAAAGACTTTTCACATTTATAGCTGATAAAAGACTCGAGAATCGTTATGCTTCGTGGGAGGAAACTTGAGTGACATAAATAGAACTTGACACTGAACGGGACGCTGCTACGGGAGTTCCATTTTTGCAAGATTTAAAAAATTTATCCCCAGACCAACGTCTCTGACTATTCAAATTTATTACATGATGTAGCTGTGATATGTCATTTTAAAATACACAAATACCGCACTTAAACAACAGTTTGCAAATTATTGCATCAAAGAGCAAACATATAAGCAAACATCAACAATAAACTTTTCTTAGGATATCAATTGTTATACTGCCCTTCTACTTAATTGTGCATGTGTATGTTAATGGTTGAACGTGGTGACTGATGAGGATGCTTGTAATGTAGTTGAGACATTTATATATGCATTGTTCACCCGCGGGGTGTTTGTCTCTTCGCCAAACAATGAGTATTACAGGATTTACAATATCCTGATTTTTTCTTTGTGAAATTATGCAACAACAACAAAGAAATTGGGTGGCTAGCTTGAATGTCCCCGTAATTTAATAAATGAATTCCGCCTCTTTTCCTTGTGTGCTAAATAACATATTTACCCCTTCATCTCCTTCTACATCTCTTCTTCTTCTTCTTCTTCTTCTTCGCTAAGAACACTATCCTTTCAATTTTGAAAGTGTAAAATTCTTGTTTGGGGTTGAAAAATTCGAAGTTAATGGTTAATTACTGTTAAAATCCTCTGAGTGTTGATTATTTATACTTAAACTTTTAGTTTAAACAATACATTAGTGATTTGCTTTAAAAATCTCAAAACTCCTGTTGGTCCTTATAAAGTGTTGAAGAAGGCAAAGTAGGTCTTTTTGATTTGGTGTTATTTGACTAAATTGGCGATTGAGAATCATTTGTGTTTGTATTTGAAGGTTTTGTTTAAAATTTGAGATCATTTGGAGCAGATCGGGGTGGTTCATTCAAAATTAAATTCAAAGAACATTTTATTAAACAACACAAAAAAATTATGTTAGCTGAGTAGACTTTGATGTATAATTTAACAAATAGGTTAAATGCAGATAATAAAAATTTATGCTAATCTAGTAGAGTTTGATGAACAATTGAACAATCACAAAATCATGCCAATCGGGTATACTTTGATGAACAATTTAACAGATAGGTCGAATGCAGATAATACAAAGTTATGCCAATATGGTAAGTTTAGTGAACAATTAAACAAGCATAAAATTATATCAATCGGGTAGAGTTTATAAGCAATTAACAATATAAGTAGAGTAAATATAGCATAATCTCTACCGATCCGGTAGAGAACTTCCATAAGAGTTGTGCGGGTCCTATCTCTATTTTTTAAATACATTAAAAAATAGAGATAATATTTAAAGACCAGTCCCTTAGGACTCTGTCTATCACCCACCAATAATTATGCCTCAATTCCGAACAATTTAGGTTTGTCTATATAAAAATCATCACCTGACCATGTCACGAGGGCTTTCTTTCTTTATGAAGTTATATCGAACTTATTTTGCAATTTCTACGAATGCAGTATATTCACAAATCTCAGTTTAGTAAATTTCACTGCATTCACATATCGATAATGTGAAAATAGTTAAATTAACTTGATTGCTTTGGTTATTAGAAAATTTGCCAATGCAAAGGTGTCATAGAAAACTAACCTTAAGGAAATATGAAACTATCAAGAAGACTATGAGTGGCATGACAGCACAAAAAGCTTTTAAATTACTAGTGTCCGTCCTAAGTGCAGCAATTAAACGAAAGACAGACAGAAGAATTAAAAGAAAAAAAAAAAAGGACAATGAATTGGCAGAAAACCTGAAAATTCATAAGGTGAGACAGTGTAAGTTTAAGTGAGGACGAAATCATCAAGCACAAAGAATATGAGTAAATAGCGCGAAAGCACCAAAAGTATTTGCAGACTACTTGGATCCCTCCAACTGCAGCAAGCAAACGAAGAGAGACAGAGCCACTTACAAAAAATACCAAGAATTGGCAGAAACCTGAAATTCATATTTCTCCACAAGATTTTCTATGGAACTTGGAGTCAACCCCAGGTGTATACCTACTTAACACCAGGAGCAAAGCCAATGGTGCAACATATAAGCGTTTCTATATGGATTGTCCATACTTGTCACTACAGGTGTACATGGACCGGGTTGGTTCGGTTTTTATCAAAACCAAACCAAACCAACTATATCGGTTTGGATTGGTTCGGTTTTGTCAGGTTTTTCGGGTTTTCGGATTTTTTGTTACTTAAATATTATTTCAATCTTACTTTGTTAAGTATTTGATAAGTAAATATATATTTAGTAAAAATATAAAAAATTGACAAGCATATTATTGATTAAAATATTCTTATGGGAAAATTCTATTAGTAACACATAATAGTTATTTTTTTAGTCGCCTGACAATAATTTTTCGTTGATGTACATTTTCAAGTTAACCAAATTTAGTAATTAAACATAAAAATCAATATGATACCTAATTATTAATAATAACTTCAAATTTGAAAAAGATATAAGAATTTAATAGATCTTAACATATGATATGAATATGAAAGAACAAAGAGATTGACACATTTCAGTAACACTTGATAAGAAAGTGATCATACAACCCATTATTTATGGTTAATAAATATGGAGCACTTCATATTTTATTAAATATATCCCGTAAGAGAATTCCAAATATTTCTAGTTATTTTTTAAAGTAAATTCTATATAAAATCTTAAAAGTATATATTTATAAGTCGGGTTGGTTCGAGTTTTTTTACTCAATACCAAACCAAACCAAACCAAACCAAGTCGGGTTTTTTAATCGGTTTGGTTTGACTTTTTATTTTGGTGCAGTTTTTTCGGTTCGGTTTGTACACCCCTACTTGTCACACAATCGGATCTTTTCTGATGCACGTAGGTATTGTTGGAAATTGAGTTTGAGGATCAACAAGCATGCTACCTGCTGAGTCTCAGACCTTGGGTCAACTGGTAGTTCCTGTACAACTTAGAGTCCTAGCGAGAACGTGATTTACTTTCACGCCTGACAAGGGTGTATTATATTATGCTGGCCTGACAGCCACGTGATAATGTCAGAAAATCTAGGCAGATCTTTATGGGTTGAGTTTAGGCCAAAATTTAAAGAAGTACTTTTGGAAGTAAATTTTACTTCTTTGGAAGATGGAAAGAATATCTTTTTACTTCCTTTATTTGCTAGAGTTAGGAGATTTTTGTGTAACTTGGTTAACACTCCTCTATTCTTAGCCATCTACTATTTATTCATATATATAGTACGAGTTTATTTCTGCACAGGTTGCGCACCCATACACAAATCTAAGAGATCCTTTTTGTGAGAAGCAACTTTGCAAGAACCAAGAGTAAGGAAAATTGAAGAACCCAATTCCAAAGATTGATTCCTATTTAGTTCATTTTGTCTTGATCTTATAATAGGTATTTTGAGTTGTAAAATTATTTTACTTGTATTAGAAGCTATTTGTAAGAACTATTGAGTGATAATCTTTTATTTTAGGCTAAGAAATTAGCTTGGAGTGAGTAGCTACGATCAGTTTGACTGCAGGCTGTTGAGTGACTAGATTTAATCTCTTAGGTTATAAAAGAGTTATGTAATCTGAAACTGCTCGTTATTTTTAGTGAAGTTTATGAGGAAAATCCCAGTGTTGGGTCTTAGCTTTTACTCACTTGAGCAATGAAGTTTTTCACATAAAATTTATGTTTTATTTATTTTCCACATTTATTAGTTACAGGAATTACAAGAGCCATTTTAAGAATCGGATTTTGAGGAGACCGTAAAATTCTGGTAGAAAAATTTAATTAGTCAATACACTATTCATCCCTCTCTAGTTTATTAATGGTGTATACTTTTAACAATTAGTATCAGAATAGGCTCTCAATTACGAGGCTTACATCTTCGAGAGATTCATAAGATAAGTACACTACCTGGGATAAATGAGAGTCAGTCTACCACGCATCCACCGTTGTTCAATGGAAGGTGCTACAATTGGTGGAAAGCTATGATGGAGAACTTCTTAACTGCCGAAGATTACAAGCTATGAAATATTATTCTGGCTAGACCAAACATTCCCATCAAGCTTGAAGCTGGAGAAAGAGAAGTTCCCAAGGAAAGAAGTGAGTTTAATGATATTGATCTCAAACTTATGGAGAAAATTACCAAAGCTAAAAAGATACTTATTTATGGCTTGGGTCCTGATGAGTACAACCAAGTTTTGGCATGCACTAAGGCAAAAGAGATTTGGGACACCTTAAAAACTGCACATTAAGGAGATTAAGGATTTCTACATGCAATACTGCTAATGAAATCTGGAAAGGGTACTCACAATGCATGAAGAAACTCACTCAGACATGGTGTCATGACCCAAAATTCCCACCTTCGGATCGTGATGGTGCCTAACATTTTACTTGATAGGCAAGCCAACGTTAGAATAATATTATCTATTTTAAAATAATTTTTAAATATATTAATAACAAGAAAATAAATGCGGAAGTAAAGTTTGAAATATAGTGAAATAATCCATCAAACAACGGTATCTAAATACCATCCCAGAATTGGTGTCACAAGTGCACGAGCTTCTAGAATAAATATAATTAAAGGTCTGAATAAAGTAAAGCTGTCTGGAAATAAACACACAGCTAAAGTAAAATATATGGGAACTTCAGAACTGCGGACGCCATGCAGTTATACCTCAAGTCTCCTCCGAGTAGCTGAAATCCAAGCAAAACTATGGCACGCCGCTGGGGCCAACTCTAAAATCTGCACAAGAAGTGCAGAGTGTAGTATCAGTACAGCC